TCTTTGGAGTCAGTCACTGTAGTCTTTTTACAATCAGGAACATCAAAACCTTCTTCTTCCTGTGCTGTGCTTTCTAGTTTGTTGCTCTCAAGCATTTCCTCTTTGTCTTTCCTTTTATCTTCATTAAACCAATTCTCACGAAGTGCCCAACATCTATTACAATGTGGTGGGAGAGGGGGATTCATTTCACTGCATGAAGTACATTTCCAATAGTCCTAAAATTAAATAAGAGAGTCAATTTCTGAAAGCCCTTAATAATTATCATAGCACTGCTAACACTTTGGTATAAATGAGGTAAAATATATCGTTCAGCACAATTTTTAGCATTTTTACTTTATATTTCAACTTCCAAGAGTCTCCTTCAAGTAAGAATTTTTGAGAGAGAGAAAGTGAGAGAGAAACAGTGTGTGTGTGTGTGTATTTCCTCTCAATCACACCATATTGGAGAACTCTCAAACTAAAAATGTATTTACTGTAACAGTAATCACAACTGTAAAGTTATCCGTGCCGGGACATGATTAAATACAGTTGCTTGTTTAGCTGCAGCAAGGGCAATGTGATCTTATATTCTATAAAAGACCTGTCCCTACTCTCTTGAGAATTCTAGAACAAAGAGAAACTTGCCTCTTCTAGGAAAACCAAAGCCTTCCAATTTTCTATAGTCTCATCCTCTATTCATTGCTATCAACTCAGAATTTATACTGGGTTTCCAAGGCTATGTACAGTAAAATTGTAAGGGAGGAGACTACCCATCTTTCCCACCACAGAGTCACTGGTGGATTCAAATTACTAAAGGAGTGAGGCTTTTGGGTTAGCAGCTCAAATCCCTACAGATATAGGCCACAGATCACTCTTCTTGGGCTGCTGTTAAGGTGCCATCAAGTCTAATATAACTAAGAGCAACCCTATGAATAACAGACCTGAACCCTGTCCTATGCTGTGCCAGCCTCAATCTGACACACAAGAAGCCACTGATGCAGTCAATCTGTCAATGCATCTCACTGGCGGTCTTCTTTCTTTTTCCCACCTTTCCAAGCATGACGTCCTAGGATAGGGTCTCCTACATGTCCAAAGTGCCCAAATGCACTTTTTCCAAGACTGATTTGTTGTTCTTTTGGCAGTCCATGAGATATTCAGAGCTCCTCACCAACACCACAGCTCAAAGGCATTGATTCTTCTGTCATCCTTATTCACTGTCCAGTTCTCAGATTCACAGCCAATGACTGAAAAGATGTGGACTGCTTAAATTGTGTTCCACAGCCAGGGTTCAACTGTGCTCTAAAATTGGGTTCAAATGAGCTCCCTAACTGCAACCATAGAGCAAATGCTAAAACATTATTTTCATAGCAATCTTTGCCAGCTAAAGCCTGTTATCGCTGTCAGAGACCTTTCTAAAATACTGACCAGTGATGCTAATATGAAGACTAAGGTGTACCTCACCAGGTCATGGTCTTTTCAATCATTCTGCTATGCCTGAGAGCTGAACAATGAATAAGAATTACAGAAGAATAGATGCCTTTGAATTGTGGAGTTAGAGAACAATACTGAGTATCACATGGACTGTCAAAAGATCAAACATATAGGTCTTAGAAAAAGTACACCCAGAGTGCTTCTTGGAAGCAAGGAAGGAGAAGCTTCATCTCACACCATCTGGACATGCTGCTAGGAAAGGCAATTCCTTGGAAATCATGCTCAAAAAGGTGAAGGGTCAGCCAAAAAAGAGGAAGACCCTCCATAAGAATTGACAGTGACTGCAGCTATGGGCTTGAATGTGTCAGAAATGATAAGGATGATAGAGCATAAGACAGGTTTGTTGTTCACAGGGTTGCTCTGTACTTGACTTGATAGCACCTAACAATACATATTGGTCTATCCTCTGCACTGTTGTAACTACTCCATGCTTCTTCCTTATTCCAACTTCCTTATCCCAAAGCTTTCCACCACAAAATCTGGGTAACAAAATGCCCCCTTATCACTATCTCCCTCCATTAACTAAAGTATTGTTCTTGCCTTAATGCTGAACACACAAAATTTGCCATAAGCTGTCTTTCCTGACAAAAAAGGGCAGTAGCAGCAAGGGCATGGACTCCATTCTGGTTTCAAACTTGTCAAAAAAAGGTTTCTATTAGTTAATAAAAGCAAAGTTTTATGATTTAAAGAGCCAACAACTGAGGAACCCAGTGAAGTAATCTAAGTCCTAATTTTTTTCAGTGGCAATTCCTATCACATTAACTAATACAAGTAAATATTAAAAATATTTATTCAATAAAACCTCCAAAATATTAGTAATAGCTAAAGTTGTGGCATGGGTACACTGTATATACAATGTACTATGTTGTGCTTACTTCAAAATTCTCTACGTGACACATAACTGAAGTTTTTCATAAAAAAAGGTCTTAAAAGTTCAAATTCCAGGACATGAACGTAAAATACAGGAATAGATTCTAACACAATAAATAAGGAACAGTGTCTCAATTTTAACATTTTAATTTTATAAAAACTAATTGATTCCTGGTTGTACACCAGACATCATTTTTATTTCAAAAAATACACACACATACTTACAGCTAAAGAAATTTCAGGGTCATCTTCAAATGAATCTGTATCACTCTCTTCTGCTTGATACACAGTAACTCGATAAACCTGGAAGAAAAAATTCATTAGCGTCATCACCAATTCTTTTTAAACCAGAAACTTGGCTTAGTAGTAAATTCTATTTCTACATAAGAGAAATTCTGAGCCTAGAGTCAAAATGGATTTGATTTTACACAGAAGTGTAAAAACAGATAAATGAAAAGGAAATCCTTACATATCATGATAAAAAGATAATAGAATATAAGCACTTTTCTTTTATAAATTACAGAGATGCTGAAGATAGCCACCTCCGTGAACAATTCTAGGGCACTATTTAACTGTGCACAAGTATCATTCCATAAAAAGCAAATTCAATTTAAAAGGGAACAACTAGTTAAGTATTTTTTAAAATAGTCCATTATGAACAAATTATAAAGAAAACGAAAGATTCAAACAAAATTTGAATATGCTAACGTTCATTTTATCAAAGTTAATGAACTTAGAAATATTTTTTCATTTCAAATATAATTAAATTAAAAGATCTACCTCATCATCTTCATCCGAGAGTTCCTGTCCTTCTTCACTAAGGTTATAATCTTCTGAATCAATAGATTCAACTTCAAATTCTACACTGAATTGATCTGAAACTGATTCCTGCTCTAACCAATTAGTAGAATGTTCACCTTCACCAGCATCAAGATCCTATAAAGAAAAGTAATAAGTAACTAAAATTAGAGCACTCTTGTGGCGTAGTCCATCAGTTACACTCTTAACTCAGAGACTGCACCTCTCTCATGGTTCAAGAAAAATGGGCAATCTCTTCCTTGATTTTTTTGAAACCTGTCAGAGAGTCAGTTCCAACTCGACAGCAATGAACTGGGAACTGCTCAACTTCTGTAACAGGTTTCTGACTCTGTTTAATTCTTAAATACAACTTGCACTACATTAAAAGGGAGCTCCAGTGACCTAGTGGTAAGGAACTGCATTGTTTACCTACGGGCATATGGTGCAAATTCACGAGCTGCTCTGTGGGGAAAAAGCTGGACAATCTACTCCTGTGCAATTTACTGCCTTTGAAAACCTGTTGCAGAGTCAGCTATGGATCAGTTTGCTTCCACAATACACAGTAACTATACTAAAATTTTGGCTTATTACTTTATTAGTATCATTTCTCTATTCAAACGCCATTACATAAAGGAAAAAGGCCAAAGTCTCTTGATACTCAAGATACTATCAAAAAACAAACCCAGTGCCATCGTTTCAACTCCTAACAACCCTCCTCCATTAAGTTTCTAAGGATTTAACTCTTTATGGGAGGAGATTGCCCATCTTCTCCCATGGAGCAGCTGGTGGATTCAAACTGCTGACCTTTCAGTTAACAGTCTGTTATGCTGTGCATTAGAACAATTGAGCTCCTAAGATACATACAGCATGACAATATTAATATCTTCATGTTATCTCCAATTATGTAAACATCTCTACTCAATATGGTTGAATTCTTTTTCTAAATCAATCTTGGAATTTTAATCTGTGCACTTTCCCTCTTTAACTGTAGTAAACAAAGTTTCTAGATGCTAATTTTGGCAAAACTTCCATCAATACCTTTACTGGTAGAGCTCTACCTCTTAACTTTACTACTTCTATAACTGAGCTTTATATTTTCTCACACATATACTTTATAAAGTACAACTTTGCATTCATGTTTACCTGAACTATAAATACTGCTGGCACTAAAATTGTGTCCTAAAATCTTTATTTCATTCACACAGATTGGTAGAATGCTAGCTGTTAGCATTAACTATTGAGATAAATTTTTTTACAATGAACTCTGAGAATCATTCTGTGTATCTTATCAAACACTTGAATTAACTTAAAAAGCTTTCACTGTACTACTTTCAGAGTAAGGAAGCAAAGAAGAAAAAAAAAATAAGTCTCAGAAAGTATCCTGTAGGGCTGCAGAGTTAGCCAAAAAAGTTGTGTTGTTTTTTTTAAAGCCATTATATTAAGCTCTCTCTGGTCTCCTTTTACCTTAACTGCAGACACATGGGCTTGCAAATTATCAACAGCTGTGGGACTAGGATAAGGAAGACTCGTTCCCACACTGAGTGGCAAAAGTTGTAGCAGGAAGACTTTAGGACTGATAAGACTTGAGGGAGACCCCGGTGATGGTGGTGTAGAGACTGGCACTGCTGTGGAGAAACCGTGCTAAGGTATGACCAGAGGCTTCTTGCATTTGTGCTGGCCTCAGTTAAAAGTTTTGTTGTTCTTGCTGGATGCCTGAAGGAGAACCCGACTTGTAACTGCTCTGAGTCAAAACTTGCTGGATAACTGAGAAAACCAGAGGCCTCTTATTTGTGTTGCTGAACTGAAACCAGAGCCTGGACTAATTGAGGAATTGTGCCTTTGGACTCTTGGACTAAACTTTGAATTTGCACTGGGTGATATTCTTTGCTTCCCCTACTCTTCTACTTCCCTAATTAACCCCTTCTCAGTACCACAGCTGTGAGTCAACAATGACTAAATGAACCTCTTGCTGCTGCTGTGGCTCTAGAGCACCACAGGGCTGGGCAATGGGCTCTTTAGCTGCTTTCTACTCTGGCGCAGTGAGGGTCTATTCTCACTTCCTCTGACCCTTTCAGAAAGATGCTCCAGAACCTGTGCCCTGTAGGTCCTATTTTCTGCTCGTTTCTACACAAGGCCAAAGTTCAGCAAACTGAATGGGTATGCAATTTTTTGCAAATAAATTTTATATTAAAACAGACACATGTTGATTCAAATTATCTACAGTTTATGGCTACTTTCTTATAACTGTATAATGACAGAAAGACACTATAGAGTACTACCATGAAACACAGTAATAGTAAGAGTTGTTTTTTAAAGTCTTAACTGATATTCAAAAATCAATGACCTAGAAACTTAATGTACTTTTAAAATATGTTGGCCATGCTTGATTTGGAAAGATACCTATAGTCTATATTCAGAAATACTTGGTTTTCATATGAATTCCATTTGTAACAATTACTCATGGTGGGTCCTCAGATCTAAGTCATAAAAACTCCCAAGGCTTAAGCTTTCCACTGCACAAAATTGAGGTGAAGCTGCTCAAATCATGAAGATACCATGATGTACAATGCTTAACACAGAACCTAGAATGAGGCTCTACTTTCAGAATTTGAATAAAAAACCAGAGAGAATATACTTCCTTTAACTAAAACATCAAAAAGGATCTTCTCCCTACACAATCAGTGGTCATAATGTTCTCTTAAAGGGAGGGGGAGGAGATTAATCAAGCCAAAAGCTTTTACAACCAAGAACTTAGTCTAAACATAACAGACTTTCAATAGAAAGAAAAAAAGAGAAACACTTTCTAGAGTGTTTTGATCGCGCTTTATACCACATATAAAACCAAAACAAAGCCTCTAAATATTTAGCTAAAATTTCAATACAATGTTTACAAAGATTACAAGCTAAATGGGGAACAGCTGTTTTAAAAAATGAATGGATCAAATTACCAAACATAAAAAACTGGAGTCCATTCTTAGGCACATATACTCATAAGCTCTATGTTTTGCTGATGGTATAATCTATTCTGAAGTAGTATACTTTATACTCACATGATAGCCAGCTTCTGGTCAAGTTCAGGCAGATGAAACAATGTGCTAATAGTACTAACTAGAAAAGTGTTAAGTTTTTGCTAATGGACAAATATCGTCTAGTTACTCAATTAAGCTTTTCCCATCTAAAAGATTTTGCACATGAAATTGCACTCAGAGAAATATTCTTGCCTCTTTAGATAGATCCTTTTTATTCTTCAATCATTTATCAATTTACAATTTTCCACAACCTGTCTGAAATCTGTCATTCTTCCATCTGTACCTTTACTCTCTAACCCCACCATTACCCTAAATAATCTGAATGAGTATTGAGGGTACCATGGACTGCGAAGAAAACAAACAGGTTCATCCTGGAGAGGATTAAACTGGGCTGCTCCTTGGAGGCAAGTATTCTGAGGCTTCGTCTGACATACTTGGGATATAAGGAGGGACCGGTCCTTGGGGAGGGACATCATGCTTGGGAGGGTGGAGGGAGAGCGCAGGAGGGGAAGGCCCTCTATGAGGTGGACTGATTCAGTGACTGGGGTAATCAGGGTGGGTGTGTCAGAGAGTGCGATTGGCACAGGATAGGGCAGGTTTTAAAAGGGCTGTTGTACACAGGGTCACTATGAGTCGCAAGCAACTCAATGGCACATAACAACGACAATTATATGCTTTAATTATTTAATTGTTCATTGTCTTTATTGTCATGAGGGCAAAAAACACATCTCCCTGATTATCAATGTATCTCAAATGTCAATTATGAAATCAGGTATAGAAAAGGAACCTAAATTATTTACTGAAAAGCTTGCAGTCAAGCTGAGCAGGAGCTCACCTTGCCATCTAGTGGCCGACATACGTAACAGCTCTGCTACATGCTAACTCTAGAGACTTTAAGTGTATCCATTCAAACATAGACAACACACCAAAGAACAGGGCCACTATCACATTTGGTTCGGTCTCCTATATTAAAAGTAAGGAGTATACAGAATTAGACATTGTCTAATTAAAAAGAAATACTTACATTTTAACAATAATATAAAGAGAAATGTTTAATAAGAAATAAAACATTCAACCTGTCAGTAACTCTAATCAGCAAAATCTTATTCCTGGATCATGGTTCGTCATTCTGCATTAGTAATCAGAAAGTATTATACTTCCTCATCATCCAAGCAATAAAAAATACACTTGTATTTCATGATTTTAATAAACCAAAAAATGGTTTATTAACTTTATTCATGCCTAGTTCAATGTATGCAAATATTAAACTCAGACTGTGCTGACTTGTTAATGGTGCAATTAAAAATTTCTTAACTCTAAAAGTTTAAGATATATTTACCTTGGAATCCCAAAATGTCCAATTAAATCAATTTTGGGTCTCTTAATTTTTAAAATGTGTAACTTTCAGATTTTGACAATTCATACACAAAGGGTCAGTGAAAGAGACAAGACCCTCGACGAGATGGATTGATAGAGTGACTATGGCAATGGGGTCAAGGCTGTCAAGAGATAAGGATAGCACAGGGTAGACAAGGTTCAGTTGTGTTGTTCACAGGATAACTGAGTTATACTGGACTCCATGGCACTTAATAACACTCCAATTTATTTTAAATTACCATTAGTAGTGCAGTGACCTAGAAAGATTCTCCAAAATATATGGTGACATTAATAACAATATTGGTTTTACCAGCATACTTCATTGCAATTCAACAAACTTCTACCATTCTCTCCAAACCTGGAGAGAGGAGGGCTCCTACAGAGCAGCTTTATTTAAAAGACGATTTTATCACTTTGCTTAGTAGCAAAATCACATCATACATGTGTGTTTTATCTGTATATTTATTAGGATTACCAGAGGAGGATTTTTTCTAAAAAGAGAGGCTTCTTCTACTGAAAACGAAATGATTACCGGATTTGATGGCGTTTCTGTTGACTCACTGCTGCTGCTTCTTTCACAACATATCTCCCTTATGACACACAGTGCGACACTTTCATCGAAGGAAAGGGAAACATTGTCAGATCTGTGCCGTTTTCTTTGTACTTCACTGGACAGTTCATTTGAATTTAGTTCTGGAGGTTTAAGGGGGAAAGTTAATTAATTTGTTGAGCTATAATCTGTCATGGATTTCATCCTCTATTTTTATTTGGGTCCACAGTCAACAACCACAGAAGTAATATTCTATCCAACAATGAATTGCACTGGACATATCTACGGCCAAAGGTCTCTTTAAAGTGCAAAAGCAAGGATGTCACTTTAAGACTAAGCTGCGGGGGAGGTCTGGGAAGGGAGAAAAGTCTAACAATGAATGAATGCAATTCCAAAATCTGCAAATTTTCGTTAATAAAAAAAAAAAAAGACTAAGCTGCATTTGATAAAAGCCACAGTCACACACATGTAAAAGTTGGGCCAATGAAGAAGGAACAGAAGCAATGATGCTTTTGAATTCTGGTGTGTAAAGTACCACGATCACCAAAAAAATAAATCTGTTGTGGAAGAAGTGTAGTCAGAATGTTCTTTAGAAGCAAAGACGGTAAAACTTCAACTCACATACTTTGGACAAAGGTGAAAAAAAGGGGCAGGATTCTGGCGTAGGACCTCAGACTTAAAAATGGAGAGCTAGTGAAAAGGAAGGAGACCCTCCGTGATAAAGACTTAACAAGGAATTTAAATACAATAGAGATCATGAGGGTTGTAAAAGAAAGAGTTTCATTGTGTTACACAAAGTGTCACTATAAGTCAGAGTTAAATTGAAGGCACAGACGCTACAATTTATGTAGGAATTAGAGCTGTTTTCATAGCTAGATGTACTGAAATTTAAGTTTAATAAAACAATAGAAAATACTGAGTTGGTACTAACATCCCTAAAGTTAACATTTTTTCTTGTTATCTGTCCAGTTGAGAGTACTGTAATAAGCATTTAAAACCCTCCAGACTATGGTCCTTCCTTAATCCAAATAACACACTGCCCAATAAGGTGCACCAAAACCTCAAGCTTTACTCACTCCTTAAAACAACCAACTATCCAGATCAAAAGGGCAGCACTTGCCCAGGAATAAAACTTAGAAAGTAGGAAAGGTTAGGATAGAAGGATGAATGGGAACAATAAACACAAGGAGGAAGTAAGAGCTGCACTGTGGGGATTGCAACCGGTTATCACAAAACACAATGTGTACAAACTGTCAAAAAGAAAATCAGCCTGCTCTCTAAACTGTTGTTCAATCACAAAATTTTAAACTGTACAAGTGAGCAAGAGGGAAGTCATTTTAATCTTTTGGAAACTTATTTTTATAACTCACAATAATGATATCTATCTAGAGTGTTTCCTTTTTCTCTCAAGACCAAACTTCAGAATAAAATTTTTGTGAAAAGAACAGTTGTATTTCTTTAAATAGTATTCTTATGCACATCCAAAAACTCCTCCAAAAGGGTAAAAAGGGAAGCCACTGATTGGGGAAAAAAATCTGTCAGACAAGGGACTTCTATCTAGAATTACACCACAACAAGGTAAAGGTAAATAACCCAATTAAAAAATGAGTACAGGATATGAACAAACACTTCACCAAAGAAGACATTCAGATGGCCAACAAGCACATGAAGAAATGTTCAAAATCCCTAGCTCTAAGAGAGATGCAAATCAAAACAACTATGAGATATCATCTCACTCCAATAAGAAGAGCAAAATTCAACAAAGCAGCAAACAACAAATGCTGGTGAGGTTGTGGAGAAACTGGAACCCTTATTCACTAGTGGTGGGAGTGTAAAATGGTGCAACCACTAGGAAGACTGTATGGCGCTTTCTCAAAAAGTTGCAAATAGAAATACCATTTGTCCCAGCAATTCCACTACTGGGAATATACCCTAAAGAAAGCATAACCGCCACCCACGCAGATAAATGCAGATCCATGTTTATTGTGGCTTTGTTCGCAACAGCAAAGAGCAGGAAACAACCCAAGTGTCCATCAACAAACAAATGGATAGAGAAACTCTGGTATAGTCATACAATGGAATACTATGCAGCATTGAAAAACAAGGAACTCATGAAATATTATGCAAAATGGATGACCCTGGAGGACATTATGTTGAGTGAAATATCTCAGTCACAAAAGGACAAATATTGCTTAGGGCCACCACTGTAAAATGGGACTGACATCGGGGTTGAGAAAAGACAGAGGAGGAGGAGGAATGATCTACTCTGCATAGAAACAGATGAGGAAGAGAACTGTTTTAACATGTTGTTGCAAATGATGGCAAAATGTGTTTCTAAACATGGTCATCAATTTAAAAGTGTGCAGTAACGTGCTAAAAGGGATATGTAATTGGGTATTACTGTCACAGGAATCCAGAATGAAGCCTGCACAGTGGAGTGGACTTGGGGGAAGGGACTGCATAACAACCAAAGTTTTACTTTTCAAGGAGAAGAGTGAATTGGTGGGGGGAGGGGGGGAGCAGGGAGAAAAGTGCAACAATGAATGACTGGAAACCCTAAGTCTCTGTAAACTTTCATTAAAATTAATTAAAAAAATGGTATTCTTCAGAACTGTTACTTTCAAAAGTAATAAAAACCAATGAAATTTATTAATTTTACTTTAGTTATATGACTTTGAAAGTTAGAATGCTAATCCCTATCACTAAATTTTACACATAAAAGCTGTTTAACTGGAGAGTATTCTGATAACATATTCTGAGAAATATATACACATATATAAGTATATATTCTAATACATAATTATAGTAACTAAGAAGTAAGAAGGCTAACAGATCAGGGATTAGAAATGTTATCCCCCCCCCCAAAAAAAAAAAGAAATGTTATCCATTGGCACCCTTATTCACTGTTGGTGGGAGTGTAAAATGGTGCAACCACTAGGGAAGGTGGTGTGGCGCTTTCTCAAAAAGTAGCAAATAGAGATACCATTTGACCTAGCAATTCCACCACTGGGGATATACCCCAAAGAGACCATAACTGACATCCAAACAGATATATGCACACCCATGTTTAATGTGGCTTTGTTCACAGTAGCAAAGAGTTGGAAATAACCTAAGTGCCCATCAACAAACGAATGGATAGAGAAGCTGTGATAGATTCACACAATGGAATACTGTGTAGCACTGAAAAACAAGGAACTCATGCAGTATTATTCAAAATGGGTGACCTGGAAGACATTATGCTGAGTAAAATAGTCACAAAAGGACAAATACTGCATGGTGCCACTATTGTCAAACAGGACTGACATCAGGGAGGGGGAGGGAGACTGAGAAAGATGAGTTCAATAATGTATACTACACTGCAACAGATGAGGGAGAAAACTGTTTAAAAGGGATATGTTATTAGGCGTTTTTGTCATGACAGGAGTCCAGAGCGAAGGCTGCATAGTGGAGTGGACCTGGGGGGAGGGATTGTAAAACAATGAAGGAATTTTTCTTTTACTTTTCAAAGAGAAGAGTGTACTAGGGGGAGGCGTGGGCATTGAGAAAAGTACAACAATGAATGAATAGAAATCCAAAGTTCCTGTAAATTTTCATTAAAATTAATAATAATAAAATTTTTTAAAAAAATGTTATCCAATGTAATCCCAAGCCCCAGACATAAAAAGCAATTCCATGTGAATGTAAGTATAAAGTGAGATAAAAAAAAGAGTTATCATTCAATATCTATAAGAAAATATTCTTCCAAGGCAGTATAGAAAAGTGAAATATGACAAAACACCACAAAGCCTTCAAAGCACTACCAAGATTACATTACGTCAACTGTTACATGGCAAAATATATATCATAAATAGACAATGTCAGACTAGAAGAAACTCTTCACAATATTTTTAAGAGAAAATAGTGAATGCCAATATTATTCAAGATTCTCCAATAAATCGAGAAGATAAATCTCATCTTTAAAATAAGGTCAAATTACTAAAAAAAATACAAAGATTCGCAAGCTACTAATAAACAAGGAAATGCAATCAGAAATGAGACAGCATTTTTCACTTACCAGGATAATTAAAATGAGATTTGTAAACTTTTACTCAAATGAAATAGATTTTTAAAAAAATATACATACACACACACACACACACATATTTTAAAAAATGGGATTATTTCCACCAGATGCTCTGCCGGGAAAAGGAGGGACAATCTCCTCCTGTACCAGTCAGATCTGATTTGACTGTACACTCACACACACACACACACAAAAAATGGGATTACTGTCTAGTATTTGTGAGATCTTTAGAGAATGGAGGGGTCAACATTTGGAGGAAAATTTCCCTCTACCCAAGGGAAATACCTGCAAATTATTTAAGGATTTAGGTGCAAGGATGATTACAGCAGTTTTTAATACACCAAGAAAGGTCATGAAAGTTAATTCACATGCCTGAAAACTAATAAGAGATTTGCTCACTCCATTTTTCTTTTGACCCAGTCATTTCTTTTTTCCCTATGAATTCCCAAAACATTCTACATCTTCCAACACTGTTTTTATGTTCTTCTGTGCAACTAGTTTATAAATTCTGGTCTAAATTCACAGGCATTCCATGGAAGAGATGATCTCAGTTGAATGATATTAACGAGAATCAAGGTTATCTTGATTCTCCCATCACCAGAATCATTTATCCCACTCTGCCTAATCTAAAAGACTATCCTGGACTTGTCTAGTCTACTTAAATAATGTACTTTTCTCATACCTAAGGCATAATATTTTAGCTATGACTTATCACATATTCTGAATCACCTAACAGTCTATTACTTTTCTTGTTTTTTGCTCTGTTTTGGTTTTTTATTTACTATTTTGTGATCTCACTATACAGGAGGAGATTGTCCCTCCTTCTCCAGCAGAGCATCTGAGGGATTCAAAACATGAACCTCTGGGATTGCAGTGAAGCTTCTTTCTTGCCTCTAGCCACCAGAGCTTGCTTATTACTTTTCTTTGTAAAAATGTTTTCAACCTTTTTACCATTTCTTCCTTCCTAAGATGTTATTTAATTCAAATTCATTGGTATATTACTGCACAGAGATTTATCAGTTTACTTAAAGAAACTACTGAATTTTTTTAACTGCTAAAAGTATGTATATTAGTGGCAGAAGCTAGGGGCAAGGAATGCAGTTCAAGTCCACCAGCTGCTCCATGGAGAAGAATGGGACAATTCTGTCCCATGCAATTAACTGCCTCTGTAAACCTGCTGGAGGGTCAACTGTGGGTCAGTTCCAACTCGATGGTACAAAACAAGGTATCTAATAAGATGGATCAACACAATGACTGCAACAAGTGGTTTGAGCCTGTAAGAGATTATGATAGCATAGGATAGGGCAAGGTTCAGATCTATGTGTGGTTCATAAAATCACTGAGTCATATTTGACTTGATGGCACTGAACAACAAGGTATCCAAGAACCAAAAATTAACGGTGAAGTAGAGTTCACCCTGCCTATTAATATAAAGAAATGAGAGAAAGCTTATAAATTCTAATTGTGCACACTGAACTGTGGCACTTATAGACAATCAGAAAAATATGTTCTAAAAGAACAATTTTAAACCAAATAAAATCACATAAATATAAAATATCAGAAATTTGTTCATTTAAACTGAAAAAGGGCAATTCCATTTAACCTAAGAGTGCTAACAACTTCATTAGAGAAACATCACCAGAAGGCTGTCTGTGCCAATGTGATATTCATACATACCTGTCTCACTTCTTGCTCTCCTCCTAGATGAGGTAGTTGGTCTAGAAATCAAATTGGAAGATGATGGTTTCTCTTCCTGTAACTCTTGCACAGAGTCCTAAGCATTCAAGAAGAAAAAAAAAGACCGTAGAAGAACTAAACCTATACCACTAGGAAGCTAAAAATTCTTGATTTAAGTAAACCTTTCCAACTTTCAAGAAACAAAATACTAGAATGTGAAAATTGAAAGATTACCTTTTGATCACTCCTGTCTTCAAGATGACACCTATTTTCACTCACAGACGTGCCAGAATCCAATGGTTCTGAAGAAAAGCAAAGCACAGAATCACAAACTAGAAAGAATTACTTAATAGACACCATATCAGGTCAAACCTTTTACATAACTTAACCTTCCAACACACACTAAGTATGTGTCCCCTATATGAGCAATTCACACGGTTCAAATCCACCAGCTGCTCTGTGGGACAAAGATAGGCAATCTCCTCCCACGTGATTTAAGACCTCTGAAAACCTACTGTAGGATCAGCTATAGGTTGATCCTGACTCAATGTCACAGAATAATAACTATCTCTTAGTCAACTAGAGTAGCATAGTCCATAGGGAGTTGTGCTGCTAAACCAAAGGTGGCATCTTTCTGGTAGCCACCAGAAGCTCTATGGGAGAAAGATGGGCAATTTTTCTCAAATAATAAATTATTTCTTAAATAATAAGGTGATTTCTTCTACAAACAGAACAAAGGTTCTCAAATGCAACATTATCCACTGAAAGCAACTTCATTTTAAATGGGCAGTCACACATGAGCATGACTATACTGAAGTGTGTATTACTATAAGGCACTTCTGTTTTGTTTAGTATTATGGTTAAGGCATTACTCTCATTTTTCTTAAGTTGTACCTATAAGTATGTTACACTACATAGAAATTTCATTTAGTATATATAATAAAGATCGATGGAGCTCTGGTGGCCTCGAGGCAAGAAGCAGCATGCAGTTCAAGGCCACCAGCTGCTCCAGGGGAGGATAGGCAGTCTCCTCCTGTGCAATTAGCTGCCTCTGAAAACCCGCTGGAGTCAGCTATGGGTCATTTCTGACTCTATGGTACACAACAGCAACAACATAATAAAGATGTTACAAAATAAATGACATTAAAAGGAATTATTAGGGTGTGACAAGATTGAAAATAAACTGACATTAATTCTACTAACCTGAAACATAATATAAACTGAGTAATAAAAATCTGTTCTCTTGCTCTACTTTTGTACTGACAACATGCTGTGAGACCTGATTTCACCCATCTTTCCAAGGGGTCCTTCCCCCTTCCCTCTTTTTTCCTTTTTCACTTTTACTCTTTTCCATGGCCTTTCACTAGCTATGCCTTAATAAACCACTTTCACTTGTTTTGCTAAAAAAAACCCTGTAACGGCAAAATAACAATCTAAAATAATAAGGATCCCTGGTATATTACATGTTGGACTGCTAACTAAAAGGTCAGTTGTGAAAAATGTATCAGCTACTCCACAGAAGAAAAGATAAGGCACTCTCTTTCCATTAAGATTTACAGCCTTAGAAACACAATTAAGAGTTGACATGAATCAGAATGTACACAATGGTAATTGGTTTGCTTTTTCTTGGTTTAATCTTACATTATTAACCTGTTAACTTCTGAGCAAACTACCAAAGTTTATTTAAAAAAAAAAAAAAGAATTTGATACATAAATGAGAAAACTCAGTGTACTACTACAGACACTATAGTTGTATATTTCATTTGCCACCATTTCTTTTTTTTTTTTTTTTTTTCACAATGAAGACCACGCCATTTATTTACAAGGGTCAGTGTGGGAGCTGGGAGAGACAGGGAGGGAAAGCCAAACAGACCCTTTTCTCTTGACTGCTTGGGACCTGGACCTAAATTCTGTTCCTCTTGCCTCTATTTTCGCTGCCATAAATCCTCCAAGCAGCTGGGCCAAGTGCAGAGGGAGGCAGCAGTGTGAGCCTACTCTGTCCCAGTGGAGCAACCATCCAATTTCAGATGAAAGGTACCACCACCACCCCTTCCTCAAATGGAATTTTCTGGTCTGGAGGAAAACCATGAAGAATTGAAAGAGCAGAGGCTAGGGAGCCAAAGACCACGGCCTCTGGGGTGGAAAGACCCCTCTCTGTTCCCTAAAGCATTACCAGAATGAATAGTAGTAAGAGTGCTGGTCACAGGGCAGACAGCTTCAAAGGGGGTACCCACACCACTTTCAGATCACAGCAGTAGCCTAGCTCTCGTGGCTATATCCATCCCTGGCCATTCTACTCACTCTCTAAGCAAAGAGCACGTAGAACCAGAAATCAGCAAAGAAATCCACTTTCCACCTTAATTCTCA